TAAAGTGCCACCTTGTGGTTATATGAGCAAACAACTCTGAAGTTCCGTCCAACTAATCTTCAAGTCTCTTTATCTATGGGAGAGAGTACAGCAGCTGGAAAGACTGGAAGAATCCAGACAGCTTTAATAAAATAAGTTATACTAGAACAAAACATTGGTGCCTAGAATCTGAAATTGTAAAAGTTAGTTTTAATATGGAGACCTACTTCCACAGCAGTTGATGCTACTTGAAAAGTTTTGTTCGCCCTAAAGTGAGAAGGGAAAAAAAGTACCTAGTTAATGGCTATGAAAGTTCACAAATTCGCTCATAAAAAGAGAACAAAAACCCGGAACTTGGGCAGATTTGGTGGGTGGCGTGTGTTTATCTCTCTTCTGTCTGACAGAGTGTTGACTGAAGACAATTAAACGCAGTATTGATCCTGTCTCGCTGATAGGCAGAGCAGAACCACAGCACCTGTATTCATTAAACACCCTGTTTAGTAACCACGCTGTGCAGGGAGAATTCAAGCTTTGTGGGAAAAAAAAGTACCACAGGCCAAGAAAACACCTGCATGATTGCATAGAAACTTCTCAGAGCGTGACAGAAGGAAGGCACAGAAAGGAAGTGAAGGACTGCTCATGACCTTGTCTAATAAAAGGAAACAGAGGCGTGATGCACATAGTTTTATAGTAAGATAATAATGAAAAATAACCCAAATACAACTGATGTTAAATTGGATACTTGCTTAAATCATAATTGGAATGCTACAGAGGTTATTTGTTGCTTTACTGCTTTAGAATATTGAGGCTTGAGGGTGAAATGTTAACAAGTTTGGGTTCTCCCTGTGAAATTAAGAAACGCTTTGGCAAGTCAAGTCATTCAATGAATATTAAAGAGATGATGCATATTGAGGCCTAATTAGTTTTGATAGACTTATTTTGGAAGAAGGGAAGGATTGCTTTAACCTGCAGCCCTAGCTGGCTGCTTTACATTCCAAAGACAGACAGACTGCAGCGCTCCTTCACCCCTTCATTGTAGCTCTATATTCAGTTTGAAAATAGGTCATTTTCTGGCAGACTACAAATTGACGCTCCCATAAAAATACAACTCTGAAAGGTCAGATGAGTTGAGATGTGTTGTTGTAAATTGAATGAATTTGTTACCAACGTCTTAAACATTCTTAGACTGACTGTGTACATTTGACCATGATTGTGAACAAGGTTCACAGACACTCAAATCTATGTTGTTTTGAAGATCATATTTTTGTCTATAAACTCACAGAAAGAGAAATTAAACTGTACATTAAACTGAGAGCCACAATTTCAACACAGACTGGAGCTGCCCAGACATTTCCCCTGCAGACAGGCTCAAAGATTTAGCTTAAATGCCCTTTCTGGCCTGTTTCTAGACTGGTCATCATTTTCGTCTCAACACAAAGTTATTAGACAATCTGCCAGGGAGAGGAGAGAAGAAACAGAATGATCCCACTTATCTTCATCTAATTCCAAAATCTGTTGAGTGAGCATATAAATGAAGAATGAGTGAAGGCATTAGTGCCTTCATTCATTCATTCATTCATTCATTCATTCATCATTATTCATTCCATTTTCCATGCGGTTATGGAAAAAGAGGAGTGCCTGCCTGAATTGTAACCTTGACCTGCTGCAACAACAGAGGACATCTCCGAGGGCTGGAAAGAAGAACATTTTTAAAATGGCACTAAGTGACCTATTCATAGATGAAACTCAGCTCTGTGGATTGATTCCTTTTTCCAGTACAGGTGACCTTTAAGATAGGGGCCCGTAAAACTGAACTTTGCCAAAAGGGTCACAGAGGTGACGGAGTGATAGCTCTCCAAGACTGCAGAACAAAAGTTTTCCATCTCTCCCTCCTCTCCCTTTATATACATACAGTATATACAGTATGTATATATATGGAAAGAGTAAGAGAGAGAGAGAAAGAGAGAAAGAGAGATATCGATGGAGATATGAGCATTCATATAAGCTTTTGTTTGTTTTTGCATGCAATCATGACACTGATTTAAAAAATCTGACCATTACAAGCGCAAACAATTTATGATAAGGTAAAGCAATTTCAGGCTGCTATGCTATGAAAATGACACTCTCCTGTGACAGGACTGTGTTATTTTCCATTCAAGCAAACTGAAGACCTTTGGGCCATGAATTCAGTTATGATTACATATGCGATGATCTTCGACAAAGTGACAAAATTTCCATAATGTGTTCTCAAAATGTTACATCTTCAGAGCTTCTGCACTTGAAATAATTTGAGACATGAGCTCATGTCAGCTGTACATGTAATTGTAATGTAATTTTTTAGCAAAGTCTTATTCAGATTAGACAAAAATCTCATTTCAGTCAAATGTATAAATAATTTTAAAATGAGATTAAGAGCCATATTTGTATGTTTTTTCCTACGTAATGTCATATCCAGTGAGGGTCTTATTTTTAGTGTATGGCAATGGAATAGTCCAAACCTGGATTGCATATCTCTGAAAAACCTTTCATGTGGAATATTTGTGCACTAATATATGAAGAATACAAATGTGTTTGCCAGTTTTTCCAATACAGGAAAAACACAGGGAGAAGTGGAAAGTTACATAACCTTTAAAGGGCTGCTGGATCATTCAATTATCAACTCACAGGAAGCATGCTGAACCCAACAATAGCTGTTGGTCAGACTTTCCCCTCATGGCCTTCAGCAAAATAATCATTTCCAAGTACCTTCAAAGACACCAGCAAAATATCAGAGACTTACCCTCTCACTTTACCATCTAACTGAAATCTGTTGCTTAAGATTTGCTTGGTCAACTGCTGCATTATGTCTTTAATGGAACACCAGAACACCACGTCCAACATAGATTTGTAAAAATGTTACCCTGGTTGCCTTTGCTTACGATAGCGCTGTGTCTTTTTTTAATCAAACACAGTGGTGGAAGCAAATTGGAGACATAAATAGCAAACATTGGCCTATTAATAGTTAGTTAGTTATGCATCTGTGGTGTGCATTGACCTGTGCAGGAGTCTACAGTACATGGGCATTATTTTGTACCTGTTCTTTGACCCCTTGTCATCTGTCTCTCATTTCCAGGGGGCAAAGTCTACTATCAATGGAGCATTTATTTGCTGGCTGAAGACATGAAAGCATTGAAAGACAAGAACTAGCTTTCTTTTTCATCACAGGAATGCTATCAAATATACTTATAGCATTTTTAGTGCTTAACTTTATGACAAAAGTTATTATGTTGTGCATCAATGTGTGTATCAAGTAGGTTTGGAAGTCATATTGGTGACTGGATACCAGTAAGATAAAATAACAGTTTGTTCAGGGCTTGGTAGGCACGTTCATTAAGTGGCATTAAAAAAACTGGGATTGGATTCACCACATTCACTGAGCTATCATTGCTAATGCTGTCCATATAAGTTATAATAAGTTTCCATAGGTGTTTTCAACAGCATTTAAAGAAAACAAATACATTTATTCTTATCCCACTCTGCACAAGATTGCTTTTCGCTGCAGCTTCTTTTAAAATCTCTCATCAAGTTACTTTCTACGTGACTCAAAAACACCAGCACCCGAACAGCCTCTTTTGGTCTATGGGATTCCTCTGATTCTGTTCTGTGAGATTCTTCATACATTAATGAACTAATACACTGTTTATTTCTGAAGGTTGAATTTCATCAAACCCTGTGTGGGGGTAAAGTAACATGAGCAACTTAGCTTTGATTCTGGATTACAGTTTGATTTTCAAAGAAAATCTTTGGACTTGGTGGAGGATTTAAATAGCATTCATGTAAAAAAAAAAACAAAAAAAAAGGACGTTACAGATAAGCTTAAGTTATCAGTGTAGTTAAAGAGGGATTCCCTTACAAGTACATCATTCTAATGGGTTTTTGTTCTCTGACCATACAATGTAAATGGTGCTGTGCAAACCCTTGACAAAGAGTTTATAGTTTGCAAAAATGCAACGAAAGATTCAATATTTGATCTAAATCTCTGTCTCTGTTTGCACAAGTCCTCAGGAATGTCACCATAAATGAGCACTGACAGGACTTCCCACAAATGTTTTCTTATCTTTTTTTAACGCCAGTTATTACACTGAGACCTGCAATCTGGTTGTCATACTAAACAAAGCTTAGCAACCTAAACGAGGTCACAATGTTCAAATAACTACGTACTTTTCCAAGGTGCCAACTTGTGGGTTGTACAATTGACACGTGTTGTTCACGTTTTTAGATTATCTTAACAAGAAGTGTTGGATTTAAAGCTTTGGTTCCTACGGGAAGTGAAAATGAGATACTCAGTCCCAGTGCCTGATCTGTTGTCCTGCATGTCTTAGAAGCTGGCCTGCTCCAGCACACCTGATCCAAATGAGAAGTGACAAGCCTGAAAAAATTGTCCACTTATTATAAGCAGCTGTTCTGGAACAGCAATGTATGTGAGCAGGGGTCTGTCTCAATAGGGGTGAGTTATAGCAGACCTGACACCTTATTCAAACATTTATTCTGTGCAACAGTTTTTCCATGTTTTCCAGTGAAATTAAACTATTTCCCTTTATCTTGATATTTTAATATGATCTGAGTTTCACAGACTCCCGTTTTGGTGTTTAGAGGATCCCATGGCCTATCTAATGTGAAATCTTAACTTCTAAATATGTACTTAACCCCTGCAACTATCTCTGTTTCACTGCTTGATTAAAAGTTTAAGGGGGGGAAAAACTTGCTAGCTTCACTGTATTAACTTTGTCAATTATTTTTTGAAAGTGTACCTTGGTTCAGTGCTTTTTATCATTTGACTTAGCATTGCTGAACCCTGACCTCACCCTTTTGCCATGTACGGGAATTGCTTTTGATGTCGTCACCTTTAGAGCATTTTCATGCCACACAGAAGGTCCAGCCCCATTTGTCTCCTTATCGGGTCCCTTTTCTCCTCCCACTGATGTGATTACCTGGTCTGAATAAATACTGAAAGGCTTCTGCTTTGAGAACAATAGAGGGCATTTCGCTCTGTGCCGGAATTTAAAGAGTTACCCAAACTGTCTCCACAGAAAGGCTTTGCAACAATTGTCATTATTCTTTAACTCCTCAAAGAATATTAGCAATTGCAGAGCTGCTAAAAAGCTGCTGTAGAAGGATCAGCCATGCTTGGAGGCGTCCCTACAGAGTTGTTGGTCACGGTAGCTCTACTCCTAACCCAGACAGGGTTTGAGTGCAGGTGGGTTTTTTCTTTTTGTTTTATATTTTCTTCCATTTTTTTTCTTTTATTTTTTTTTAAGGAAATGTGTTCATTTCTTTCCTGAGGTACTTCTTAAAAACTTTTTTTTTTCTCTTTCAGAGCTGAACATGACTTTTCTTTAGTAACTTTACCAGAGATGAGGGCATCTTCAGGTACTATAACCAATGAGACTTGTAAATGTTGCTTGTACATATTTTTCTTAAGTTCATAATAATCAAAGTATTTAACCCCCACTGTCCTCCTTCTACTGCAGACTACATTACACAATGCTACAGGCATCTGAATCAGACTTGTGACTGGATGGAGACCCAAAAAACAGGTAGAGATGATTGTATTTACTAAGTTTAGATCATTTTGATTGGGCTAATTGATTTCTAAGAGTTCAAAGTTAAATTCAAAGAGTCACTGAGATAACCTTTTTAAAAAATAAAAAAAAAGAAATCATTTGATTCAGATGCTCAGTTGGTTTTATTGGTCAATGGTTCTACATTTATTCTACAAAAAGTGTGGCTGCATCTGTACTCTTAGAACCTGTTTTGTTCCTATAGGCAACACTAAATGTAAACATTTCATCTGTCAGGTCCAAAGGATGCAACAATTGCTGTGTTAAAGAGTCCCCCCCTGGAGATCGCAGCCGAAGCATGTTTAGAGTTCTGGTACCTCGCCCCAGCTTCATCTAATGGGTCTGAACTCCGTGCTCTACTAAACAGTAGCATTGGTCAAATGGAAATCTGGGCCTCTCCGGCTGTCCCCAGAGATGCATGGAGACAAGTGTTTGTGCCCCTGACTATCACCGAACCAGGAATTTGGGTAAAATGGAAATGCTTTCAAACAAGTTATTAAATGCATTGACAAAATGTAATTTATTTATTTTGTTTGTTTTTTTTAGGTTGGATTTGAAGCTCTCCAACCTGAAAACCAGATAACATTAAAGCAGATAGGTGTAAGAAAAGGTTCCTGTGGTAAGTGTTGAGCCCATCAGTTATGCGTTATCAGATGCACTGTTTAGGGCAGCACCCTAATACTGATAAAACTTGTCAGATAACACTAAAGTATTGCATGTGCAAGTGTTTAAATGGTCATGCACTTCATGGTGACTGTTTTTTGGATTCTTTAATTCCAATAGTGTTTTTTTATTTCTCTCTCCCTCCAGAATTCCAGTGTGACACAAACACAGATTTCTGGACAGATCCCTCTACTCGCTGCCTCTGTGCTGATGGCCAGCTCTTCTGCTTTCCCTCTCGGTGCCCTTTGGGACAAATCTGTGGTCCTCAAACGAGCGACTCAACCTCAGGGATGTGCACAATACACAGTCACTCAGACTGCAGCACCTTTGATGGAGTGTTGTTCCACTTCATGGGCTCCTGCACTTACGTGCTGGCTAAGACTTGCTCACCTGACGAAACCCTGCCAAAGTTCAGCGTGGAAGTGGTAAACGAGAAGCTCGGCAACGCATCTCTGCCAACTGTACAGCAAATCATTGTGAATTTGGGGGAATTGAGGGTTTCTCTGCTAAAAAGACAGACACGCCAAGTTGTGGTAAGTCATTTTAGACTGTAGAGGTGTTTGACTTATGCAATTTACTGCAAATCATTCTAAATGGTTTATTTTCTTAAATTCTAAACCTGTTTATTGCAATTTAGAAAAAATACCATATATTGCATTGCCTGCCCACTAATGTTTGAAGTGCATAAGTTATGAAGGTAATAACCATTGAGCAGTAAATTATGGATGCTTCCTGTATCTACAGCCCCATTGCGCCAATAAACTGGGGTTATTAAACAGTGCAGTTGAGTAATGCCCAATAATTCGAAGAACTAACCCGCCCTATTTGATCTTACAGATATAGCTGTCTTAAGTGTGCATTTTTTTTTTCTGGCACCAACTTGTCCAGGAAGTTGCACTGATAATGGATACTGAAAGCAATGCCTTTTTTCATTCTTTTTTTTTCTTTTATTTAAACAGGTTAATGGTGTCTGGAAGAAGCTCCCACTCGACCTTAGGAATGGCACCATAAACATCAAGAGCAACCCTGCTGCTACCATAGTGAAAACAAGTTTTGGTCTGTTTGTTTCATATGACAGTGCAGGAGCCGTTCATGTGAGCGTCCCATCCAGCTACTCTCAGAAAGTATGTGGCATGTGTGGCAATTTTAACCACCTGCCTGAAGACGACTTCCTTTTGCCAAATGGTACAAATGCAGAAAATGCTACCATTTTGGCTGAAAACTGGCAGACTGGGGAAACCCCCTCTTCCTGTGAAGCCATTGTGATGCCTCATCAGTGTGACCCACATGAAGAGGCCAAGTACACCAGTAAACAATACTGCGGAGGCCTCCTATCTAGAACTGGGCCGTTTGCTGACTGCTTATCAATTGTTGGGGCCGAAAGCTACTTCAGAGCCTGTTTGGCTGACATGTGTTCCTCCCATGGTGATCTATCAGTCCTGTGTGAGACTTTACACTTCTATGCAAGTGTCTGCCAAGAGGCTGGAGTTGCTCTTCCAGAATGGAGGAACTCGACATCATGCCGTAAGTCAACTGTCATTTACTTATCAATTATTCCTTCTGTTATTACTGTATTGGCAATTGGCCATGATGGTCAAGTTTAAATTATGCTTAATTTTTTTTCTTTTTGACCTCCCTTCCCAGCCCTTCAGTGTGGCAAAAACAGCCACTATAATGCGTGTGCTGAAGGCTGCCCCGAGGTATGCTCTAGTCTTGATATTGTCGCATCCTGTGGAAGCTGTGAGGAAAGATGCGAGTGTGACTCTGGCTTCAAGCTCAGTGGGCATAAGTGTGTCCCAGCAGAGAGCTGTGGATGCTGGTATAATGGAAAACACTATGAGGTAACTGGGCTAGATGTAGAGAAAATAACATCTTGGTCTCTTCCATTTTCAGTTCTAAACTGCATTCATTCTTATTTCCTTGCAGAAAGGAGACTCCCTGGTGGAGGGGGACTGTGTGCAGCAGTGTCAGTGTATGGGTAACGATGTCATGCAATGCACTGCAATGAGATGTGCAGATAATGAGGTCTGTAAAGGGAAGGATGGCGTGAAAGGCTGCTTCCTTTTTGAACCTGCAACCTGCAGTGTCTATGGAGATCCACACTACATCACCTTTGACAAGTTTGCCTATGACTTTCAAGGGGGCTGCAGTTACACATTGACAACAACATGCGGTGGAGAAAGCCCTGTCCAGTTCAGTGTAATTGGTCACAACATGCATCCTCTGCTTCAAAATGCCACAAGGTCTAAACTTGCCGCTGTGACACTGCAGGTCAACGACCTGCATCTCACATTGAATCAGAGTGGTGAACACTACGTAAGCTGTCACTTCTTTCAGGCTTTGACTCTGGCCTTTTCACTAAACTGGAGTCAATCTCTGTAATCTATTAATGGTGCAATTAACTTTTTGTTATGTCCCTTCTCCCTCCTTAGGTGCATAATGGCTATATAGAGCTTCCCTATTTAACAAATGGCACATATGGCGCAGTGCAGATCTACATGAGGAACGGTTACATTATTTTGGAGACAACCTTTGGCTTAAACATGAGGATAGATGGTCAGAGTAGATTGTTTTTGCAAGTGGATGAGCGTTATAAATATGAACTCTGTGGACTGTGTGGAACTTATTCTGGGTACCAAGACGATGACTTCATAATGCCAGGAGGTCAGCATGCTGCTGGACCATCAGAGTTTGGTGACAGTTGGAGAGTGGACAATGACACACAGTGAGTTCTATACTGTATCTTTTACGTGATTTTACAAATGATCCCCAGTCTTTGTACGGCCAGACTGAAGGTGACTGTATTCCAAATGGTCTGAACCATATTCAAATTTAAACAAGAACTCCTATCAAGATGGAAGGCTAAATTTAAGATTAAAAACTACAACTAGTTTTTCTCTATTAAAATTTTGCCATGTTTTGTGTTTTTATTAATCACTTGCTAAAGTAAAAATAAAAGTAATCAGTGTACCCCTTCCTCATGGAGCATAAATGTCCAATCTGAGATGTTTGTTTTTTCACTCAATTACTTTTCAGGTGTATAGCCCATCCAAAAGACCCCAGACAATGTAGTGATGACAAGACTGAGGCAAACAAAGAGTGTTCCACGGTGTTCCAAGATGCTTTCATGGCCTGCCATGAACGCGTTCATCCAAGTATCTACTTCAGCAGTTGTGTATATGACTATTGTGCCACGAGTGGTGACATTCACACACTGTGTGACTCTCTGAAGTCTTATGCAGCAGCATGTCAGTTTGTAGGGGTGGAAGTTAATAACTGGCAGCCTGGTACAGTTTGTGGTAAGTATTGGAGCCACATGTTTTTTTTGTATTAAAGGTGATGCATATTAGGGTAATTTTTCAAATGTGTAATGAAATGGTAACAGTATTAGTACAGATATTAAAGTTTTGTTTTTTTCTTTCAGCTGAATTGACTTCAACTCCCACAGCCCCAGAACCTACCTCTCCAACTCCAGATCAAACTTGTAAGAACATTTGGTTTGTTCTGTAAATTAAGAGACTAGGCTAGAAACAAATTTTGCTTAATCCAAATCTATACAGTGTATTATCTGGTTCATACTCTGGTTTTGTTCTCAGCCTGCCCCATGAACTGCAATTTTGAAAATAGTCTTTGTGGTTGGGAGCAGCTCATTCAGGACAGTTTTGACTGGACAAGGCACTCTGGAAGCACACCAACAAATATAACAGGGCCAAACCAAGACCACACTAGTGGAGGTAAACTTGGTGTGAGACCACACTTTGTTTTTGTTTTTACGTGTATTTTAAACATGATTCAGGCTCATGGACTCTTCCATGTCTCTCTAGCTGGGTTCTACATGTACCTTGAGGCAGACGATGTAGCCCATGGAGATTCTGCTCGTTTGTTGAGCTCAGAATGCCGATATGACGGCCCACTCTGCCTGCACTTCTGGTACTATATGTATGGCTCAGCCACAGGCATGGCTCTCAATATATACCTGCTCAAAGACAATAGAGCAACCAAGCTTTGGTCTGTGATAAACGACAGAGGACCACAATGGCGTCCAGGAAGTGTTGACGTCAAAGTCCCTGGGCCCTTTCAAGTAAGCCAGATTTTTGTATATAGGACCTAAAAGGTGCTGTCTGGTCTTTGATAAATTTACTGTATAACATTCAATCATCTAATTCGCTTGTTTTTTTTGTTTTTTTTTCGTTTTCCTTTTGTACCCCCAACGCACCCCAGATCATAGTAGAGGGCATTCGAGGCTCAACTGCTTTGTCAGATGTGGCTATAGATGATATTTATATCCGTTTTGGTTCATGTCCAGGTAATGCATGCAATTCTTTTTATAATTTTTTTTTAATTCATTTATTAAAAATGGCAATGACGGCTTTATTCTTAAATTATTATTCTGCGTTTAAACTAACATTATTATCATTTTTCTAAGATGACTATCCCAGTGTAATTGATGGAAGAACAACGATTCCTTTCACAACTGCACTCCCTTCACACTCTGGTAAGTACACAGGAAGGTACTTTATAGGTCAAGTGTGCTTGAAGCTGAAGTTTGGTTACATATTAACATTTATTGTTTGTCTAGTGCCCATCAAAAGCTGCAAACTTGGCATTTATGGTTGTATATTTAGAGTTTTTAGGAAGCTGTCAGTGCCTCTCTATTTAGCTTTAAGTTAATATTTACATGTTTCCCTCTAGCCTGCAATCTTGACTGTACTTTTGACGGCAGCCTGTGTAACTGGAGTCAGACAGCCACTGATGCTTTTGACTGGTCATGGAACAGTGGTTCTACTCCCACCCTTATGACTGGCCCCTCTGGTGACCATACTGGTGGTAATGTGCTCGCTATAATTCTATTTTTTGTTTTTTGTACCCCCCACAATTTTGTCTCAAATGGAAAAGTATTTATAACAAAATAAATATTCTGAATTTTTCTGCAGATGGCCATTATGTTTACATAGAGGCCAGTAATGTGACTCATGGCGACACAGCTCGTCTCGTCAGTTCAGAGTGTTCTGACACCGGTCCTCAGTGTCTGACGTTCTGGTACCACATGTATGGTACGGCTGACACAATGGGCCTACATGTCTACCTCCTCCACAACAATTTAGCAAATGCTATCTGGTGGAAGAGAAATAACCAAGGCAATATGTGGCATCTGGCTCAGGTGGAATTCAACTCAACTGGAGCATTTCAGGTGATTGAGCTCAAAGAAGGAACTCTTATGAGGAATGGGAAATTACTGTGCAAATTTGCTAATGAATTCAATACCATTATTCAGATCATCTTTGAGGGACGCAGAGGATCCAGTGATCAATCAGATGTGGCAGTTGATGATGTAAAGCTAGACAGAGGACATTGCTCGGGTACTGGGCAGGAACAAAAAAATTAAACATGTTAAAGGTTTATAATTCAAGGAATCAATACAAAGTACTTCAACATTTTCTCCCATTGCAGATCAGAGTTCTGGAACAGCCATTCCTGATAAGCCTGATCTGAATACCACAGCTCCCCCTAGTGTTGCTATGCCTACTACTGCAACTCCAGAGCAGCCTCTGCAGAATTTTACAACCATGGCTACTGTGACGCTGTCTCCCACAGAAGCAACTACTGACTTCATCAATAATCACAATGTTACTGATGTTCCACGCCCAGGTAATTTTTTGATGGGCCTCCCCCCCCCTTTTTTTTTTTTTTTTTTTTTTTTTTTTTTCCCCTCCCCCACCTTAAACCTAATCTCTCACTTCTAACTATGCTTTGCAGTATGCCAACTCAACTGTGACTTCGAGCAAGATGCATGTCAGTGGAGAGAAATGCTAACTGATGCATTTGACTGGAAGAGGCATGCTGGTTCAACTCCCACACTGAGTACTGGTCCTTCCTCAGATCACACAAAAGGAGGTATTGGTGGATACATTTTATTTTTATTTTTTAAATTGGTTGCATATAACTTTTTAGATTTGACTTGTCAGTTTTTTTGTTTTTTTTTAATCAACCTTTGTAACATGCTACATTTCATCAGGGCATTTTCCTATCATCACTCAAAGGATGGACTTAAACTACAATTTATTTATTTTAAATCAAATTGTGAACCATCTGATTACTTTCACTTGTGCTGGGAATCAACTGAACTTGTAGAATTAAACAAGGAAATGGCCTCAAAATGTATTTATTTTTGTAGGTGGTCACTACCTATACATAGAAGCAAACAGTGCGTCACTTGGAGACACTGCTCGTATTATCAGCCCAGAGTGTTCCGACTCCGGTCCACAATGTCTGCAGTTCTGGTACCACATGTTTGGCTCTGCTGAAACGATGGGTCTCCAGATATACTTGCTTCAGGACAAAAAGGCAAAAGAAATTTGGAGGAAGAGGAATGACCAAGGGAATGTGTGGCACCTTGCTCGAGTGGACTTGGTATCAGCTGGACCATTCCAGGTGATATGTCCATTAAGTGTTTTTCTCTGCCAGATTGGAATTTTTATATCTAAAATTGCACATTGGTAAATTACCTGTAAAGACTGAGTGTAATATGAAATATTGGGTCGGTAGATCTAAATGGGTCTAGAGGGCAACCTCTTTATTCTATTTTTTTTTTTAGATAATAATTGAGGGTCGGAGAGGATCCAATGATCAGTCTGATGTGGCTATAGATGATGTATCTCTTCACCGTGGGATTTGCTCAGGTAATTTAGGCACTCGTTTGTCTTCACACAGCGTTTTTTATAATTGTTGTGACAACTGGGCAAATTTTGTTCCAGACCTACCTAAACCAGCAACTACAACCTCAAGTCAGTTTCCAACATCAGGTTCTGAACCTCCTCTACTGAACAGTTCAGTTACCACCATACCACAGGCGTCGATGATTCCTACGCTTGCAACAGTGGCCACCGCAGTTTCAACAGACTGCGTTACAGAACCTCACACAAAACCAGTCTCATCAGAAATCCCAAGTACTCCAGAACAAGAAGGAACTGAAAGTGTATCCCACCCTGCAACAACGGGGAGCACAGAAATGGGCTCTACGCTACCAACAACTAAACCAGAGCCCCCAAATGAAACTGAACCTCAAACCACAGCTCAGCCACAAACGGCTCCCCCTCAACCAGC